CCCGAACAATAGGAACAGAATCAATAGAAGGAACCTCTGAGCTGGAATCGCGAACATACGCCAGATAAGCTAGACACCCCTTCTCGACCATGCGTCGAGCCTTCACATATGAGATAACACTGCGAGTGGCATGACCTGGGGTCCCTCTCCACTCCAATCGGGGTAAATCTGGCAAAGCAAAGGTCACAGTCTTGGCGTGACAATCCAAGATAGCATGATACGGGGACAACCAATCCATCCCTAATATGACGTCGAAATCCACCATATCTAAGAGCAATAAATCAACACGGGTCTCGAGACCCACATGGTCCAAACACGAGGCTCGGACCAAAACCCAATCACCCATAACCCCACGAGTTCAAATACACAATTTGTTTTAATATTCGACCCCAAATTGAGGTTGAATCACCCAAAATTCTCAAAAACCTAACTCTACCCAAAACCCCCAATTTCTACTTTGATTTCATGATTTATGGGTAGGAATTTAGTGATTAGATGAAGAAATTAAGGGAGGATGAAGCTAAGAACACTTACCTAAGAAGCTATGGAGGAAAAGGCCTTCAAATTTCGTCTATGGAGTGTTAGGGAGAAGAGCTCGTGTGAAAAAAATGAGAAATCCCGTGCTGCTACTGTTCTGGACATTAAAATATAACTGGGCAAAATTGCCCTTCGCGTTCGCGGGAAGGAGGCCGCGTTCGCGAAGGGTAAACTGGGCAATGCATCGCGAACGCGTGAAAGGGAATGTGAACGCGTAGAGGAAAAATGCCGGGGTCTAAGATTGGCCTACGCGAACGCGATAGAGGACACAACAAATCATCGCGAACGCGATGGCCAGAGCGCGAACGCGGTGAAGGGAAATACTGGGGCTTGAATTTGGCTTACGCGTTTGCGAGGGTGAAGACGCGAACGCGAAGTGGGAAGGCACAGAACTACGCGGACGCGGACCTGAAGATGCGAACGCGATGAAGAAAACCCCTGTGCAAAAATTGCAGAAAATCTGCTAACTTCTCAAGTGCAAAAACACCCCGAACCACCTCCAATTCACTCCCGATATATATATATATATATATATATATATATATATATATATATATATATATATATATATATATATATATATATATATAGGCTCCTAACCAAACACACACACTAACTCAATAACATCCTACGAACTAACTCGAGCGATCAAATCGCCAAAATAACATCAAAATCCATGAATCAAGCCTCAAAATCATCATTTTCATTTCAAACTTCTTAAACTTCTAACTTTAGATATTTAGGTCCGAAACACGTCAAATGACGTCCGATTTCGACCAAACTTTACAGAAAGCGCTTAACACATATTTAAGACTTGTACCGGGCGTCGGAACCAAAATACGAGCCCGATACCATAGTCTTTTATCAATTTTCATTCCCATTTTCCTTAATAATTTCAGAAAAATAATTTCACAGAAAAATTCATTTCTCGGGCTCTCGACCTCGAAATTCGACTCCGGGCATATGCCCGAGTCTCATATTTTTCTACGGACCCTCCGGGACCTCCAAATCACGGGTCCGGGTCCGTTTACCAAAAATGTTGACCAAAGTCAACTTTAGCAATATTAATATCAAAATTCTTCAAATTTTTCACAAAGTTCACATATTTCAACATAAAAGCTTTCCGGCTTCGCGCCTGGACTGCGCACACAAATCGAGGCAACTAAAAGCGAGGTTTTCAAGGCCTCGAAAGCACGAAAATAGGAAGAAATCCGGTGATGACCCCTTTGGGTCGTCACAGCAGCGTGCAACCCGATCCCATTTCATATAATACTGTTACAGTGTGCAACCTGATCCCCAAATACAATTCAACGTCAAGCATAAAAGAATCCTGGTAAGGGAACAAGAGTATAACAATAACATCCCGGCAAGGGAGACAATATCGTAAACGATAACATCCCGGCAAGGGAATCAACAAGTACATCATAAGGGTCACGGAAAAGAAACCAAGAAGCACGATAACCTCAACAAAACAACAAGACATAATAAGCACGTGATACTACACCAGTAACCACAACAATTGGACATGTAACATATTTGCACGAAATCATAGAAGAACTCACAATCAAGAAGTATCCAAAACAATAAGGGAGGCAATCACTTTAATTAAGGCAATTAAGGGTCACTGTAACACATAGGAATTAGAGGAAAGTTAACAACAACATATGAAGCATATAGAGGCAATTCAAGCAATTCTTAAACCCAATCATAACAGGATACTTTTCACATAATGGACATAAGGACCTAAGAACCCTAGAGGCAAATTTCCCACAAATAAATCCGGGCACACACTCGTCACCTCGCGTGCACGGACTACAATTAGCATATAAGACTCAAATCCTAAGGGGAAGTCCCCCACACAAGGTTAGGCAAGATACTTACCTCAATCCGGCCAATTCAATACTCAATTTAGCTTTTCCATTATCAATTCATCAACGCTCGGCTCAATCTAGCCAAAAACGACTTGAATACATCAAACAATGCAAGAGAAAACAATTTCAATTAACAAAACTATGATTCTTATACAATTTGCAAAAAGTCAGCTCCTCAGGCCCGCACCTTGGAACCCGACAAAATTTACAAAAATCGAACATCCATTCCGCTACGAGTTCACCCATACAAAAATTATCTAATTCCGATACCACTTGGTCATTCAAATCATCAATTTACATTTTTGAAAGATTTCACAATTTTTCCTCAAATTTTCTTTTAGATTCTCATGAATTTGATGTTAAATCTAAGATATAATCACAAAATATAGTTGGATGATTAGAGACACTTACCCAATGATTTGGAGAAGTTTGGGGCTTTGGAAAATCGCCTATGGAGATTTAGGGTTTGAGAAAATTGAAAAATGGGTGAAAATCTCGTCAAAAACCTCACTTAACAGGCCTCAGATGTCGCATTTGCGACCCGCCCTCGCAATTTGCGAACAAAGCAGGGCTGGCAGAAGTCGCATTTGCGACAAAAAGTTCGCATTTACGAACTGGGCTTCGCAAATGCGATGAAAAAGTTCGCATTTGCGAACACACCAGAAACCAGTAATTTTTCCCGACACAAAAATGAGCATAACTTCCTCATACGATGTCCAAATTCGATGATTCTTTTTCCTATGGCTCCGTAATTTCGATACGGATCTAATGGATCAAACAAAACAGAATTTGGATCTCATTTGCTCAATGTGATATTATTTTTTCTTTAAAAAACGACGATGAAGCATCCAAAAACAAGCGCAACATAGCCTAAACCTATCCGAAACTCACCCAAACCCTCGGGGGTCCAAACCAAAAATGCACGCAAGTCTAAAAGCATCATACGGACTTGCTCGTGCGATCAAATCATCAAAATAACATCCAAAACTACAAATTTAACCTCAAAACTCATGATTTTCTCAAGGACACTCAAATTTTCTAATTTTTCAACCGGACGTCCAATTCACGTCAAATCAATTCCGGTTCTCACCAAATTTTACAGATAGGACTTAAATATCATAAAAAACTTGTACCGGGCTCCGGAACCAAAATACGGGCCCGATACCAACGAGTTCAAATATTAATTCATTTCTTTATTTCCTTTAAAAACCAGCAAGAAAATTGTTTTCTAAGGCTAGGGACCTCAGAATTCAATTCCAGGCATAAGCCCAAGTCCCATATTTTACCGCGGACCTCCCGGGATCATGGGGACACAGATCTGGGTCCGTTTACCAAAAATGTCGACCAAAGTCAACTAAAAACCAAATTTTAACTCTAGAAATTACTATATTTTTCATATTTTCACATAAAAGCTTTCCGGTTTCACGCCCGGACTGCGCACGCAAGTCGATACACATAATATGAAGCTGCTCGTGACCTCAAACTGCCGAACCGGACGCAATTACTCAAAACGGCCTGTTGGGTCGTTACAGTTTAGGATTTACTTTAATCCTCTATGTTTACAAGGGTTTTCTTTGGTGTATTTGACCATTGTAGTATTTTCCACCTTTCTAATTTATTCTACAATATTTATTTGGTATAGTACTTTTACACAACGGCACAGTTATGTATTGGTTTAATAATTCTTTGGTTCCGTTCTCTTATTTCAGGTTTAAACAACCACAACCGCAGGAAATAAAAGTATCTATCATAAGGTAATTTATTTTTTGTATGATATGAATTCTTTCTCAAAAATTAATTTCATGTGTCAATATCAATGAAGGTTAGAGTTTAACATATTGTAAAGTTTTATAATTAAAAAGTATTATCAATAACGGTGTCCATAGTAAAACTTTGATATTTTTTAAAAATCTAATGACTTAACAAAGGTTTGAATCAGCTTCTGGAGATATTGGTGGTCACATACTTTCATAGCGGCTTCACATTAATTGAACGTCCTGAATCAATTTATATATTGTTTTGTCATACATTCTGTTATCTTTTTTATTCCAACAATTAACGAACCAAATTCAGAAGGGACAATACAAGAAATCGGAATTTTTGTGGCGACAAGAGTCGTTACTAAATCATGCAAAGTCGCTACTATATACTTTTAGTGGCGACTTTCTGGTCGCTCCATGTTATCATTACTAAATGTTTTTTGTGACGACTACTGAAAGTCTCCACAAATAATATACATTGTGGCGACTTTAATCGCTAAAACAAGTGCGGTAAATACCCACCCACAAACCTGGTAAATACCCACCCACAAAATAGGTTTGAGGTAGGTCGCCACTGATGAACGACTTTTAGTCGCCGCAAAAGGAATTATACCTTAAGTGGCAGCTCTTATCGCCACAGTACCATGAGATTTAGTAGCAATATTGGTCGCCACAAATAGTAATTATTTTGTAGCAAGGTTTGGTCGCCCCTAAAACCTTTTTTCCAACAAAATTTAATTTTTTAAAAATAATTTAGCAGCAACAATATTTTTAATTATATTACACAAGTGTATTAGAGCAACTCATTAATGTAAGGAGACCCCATTAAATCTCTTATCAAACAAAAAGATCAATAAACTTTTTATTAAAATTCAGAACATATAGGAATTGTCCATACACATGAAATGCCCCGGAAAAAAAAAACAAAAACAAAGAAGCAGCAAAAATAAAATGTCTTCAAGCTTCTCCTTGGCTAGTACCATGTCATCTTGAACAATATGGCCACACTATGCAATAGCAAACTCTCATAAGAGAATAATATTGGGTGCTCCCCAAGGGCGGCTCCTGTTGTACTATTCCATACGAAGGCACATTATTATCTTTTGCACACATTGGACAGATTGGTTACTACCTACAAAAGAAATTCAGAGATTTTTTAAAAATCGTCAATATATTTTAAGAAACTAGTTTCTCGGCCAGTACACATTTTATAAAATAATATCAGTATTATTAAAACAAAGATCTGAGCAAATAATAATACACGAAAGAATAAAGTACGAAGAAATTCAACTAAACACCATTCTTTCAAGAAATTCAATGCTCACTTAGCAAGAAATAACACAAGGATTTAAAGAAATTAAGAAACCAATATGTTTGAGGAGTAAAACCCATATGTCCAAATTGATTTATCAAAGTATTCCAATTCACCTTTCAAATCAAGAATTAATATTGTGTGGTAAAGGAAATACAGAAGGTTGACCAAGCATTCATTTAGCCCAAGTATCTCTACAATATACATCAAGTTGAACACTTTTATAATAGAGCCGAGCATATCCAAAATAAAAAAGGTCATCTCTTTAAATGAAGTAGCAACTGTTTAGCTCAAAAGAAGACCATCATCATATGTTGAATCAAAGAAACTAATAGATCTAAAGATTAACGGCTTACTAATTAAGGTTTTCTTCCATTCAACCCTTTTGAATTGCATAGGCACTTCACTTGGAAATAACTTCAGTAAATGCATAGGCACTTCACTTGAAATCACTTCAGTAAATGCAGATGTCTACCATATGTTTTAGGAGCTAACACGACTATCACTATTAAATGCTTCCTAGATGAATCCTTTATGCATTTAACCTAGCTAGAATATCCAAAAAAATCCTCCATGGTCTACCATACAGCTTTAAATTCTGCAAGCAACCAACTGATTATCAGAAATATTTACCAAGCCACAACACGATACAATATAGGGTGTAAAATAAATTACTCTATTTTAATATGCACTATTTGTGAGCATAAAGTATGGGTGGTACCTGTATCGGCCAGCGTCATTGTCTCGAAACATGTCATAGTTCATATAGAATCTTCAACAGTGGGCACCGCATAAGGTTCAATCTCTTTCATGTCCTCCTCCACCTGCATATTGTTCTCATTGCCATTATCCATCCATTCATTTGACCCTGTTCCTTCACCCACAAAAGAAATGAAATTTTGATAAGTAGTCTGTAGTCCCATTCTTAATTAAATATAAGCGGTCTGCCCAAACTATTAAAATTGATCAGCACATATCAACAACTGATGGTAAATATAAAGAATTAAAGCCTTCTCTATTGATTATTCACTTAATGATACTCCCTGTGAAAGAACAAACTTCCTCACTACCATATCTAGTGCACATTGATGGAAGTATAGTTTGACAACATTAACATTTAAAATAATTCCTGAGTTGATTTAAAATGAGTCATGTTTTACGTTCCAAGTCTGTCCTAGTTTGCACTATGCTCTCTTTCGATTTCTTCTTTTAATAGGTGATCTTCCAAATATAGTTTGTTAAATTCAACCGGAAACCACTAGATGGAGATATACAAAGTGAACTTCCCTATGCAAGAATATAACTCTATCTTGTTCTCTGACATGGTGTATCGTATGAGTTTTTAACCAAATATACATAGATATTTTTGGAACTTCTCAATAATATCTATACGAAATTTTTAAGACTACTAAAGTCTTATAATTAATTTACTTAAGGTGCTAAAAACGTGTACAAATATTCACTTTTCAGACAATGTTGCGCAAATTCTTTGCACCTCAATACTAATTGTTAGACATTATTCAGGAAAGATAAGCAGTTAGATATACTTCAAAAAAAAATACATGCTTTCACAATAGTATCAGCGGGTATGGGAACTAGCCAACTACTGGTTGAAAGCAATACTTTTCTACAAAAGAAAATTGAGTATTTCAAAAACCTATATGTACACTTATGAATAACAATTATCTTCAGAAAATATCTAATGAAAAAAATAAGAATAGGCTCCATACAAAAAAGAGAGAACTAAGAATAAAAAACATACCTTTGAGTTTCACCATAATGGACAAGGACTATATGTTCAAGAGTCGTGATAAACAGAATTGGGAAAAATCCGTAATTCATGGATGCAATTGTTTTTTTTATCTAACTACTAAAGTGAGCCATCAAATTTTGACCGAAGAAAAACAAGAAAGGGGGAAATCCAATAGATCAGAACCAAAGCTCTGCGTGCAAGATACCTATAGCAATTACCTTGATTTAAATAATAGCATGATCACGGACATGAAGCAGATTGAGATGAGTAAATAAAGATGAAACACGGATTCTTCTTTATGGCATATGTTCCATCATCTACATAGGCGAAATGGCTTCCTGGCCACTTAAACTTGTCGAGTTTTTTAAAGCCGATACATAAACTTATAACTTTCCCATTTGAACACTCGAACTCGTTTTTTCCATAATTAATAAATACATTTGACCATTGACCTTGTGCGCGTGTATTACACATACACATACGTGTCCATCCGGTCACCAAATGACCAATGGATGTCTTACACGTCAAGTCAAGCAGCAACTCCTTCTCTTTGACTGTTCAAGAACATCCTCAACCTTTTTCTTGTCTTCTGCGCTAAGCTGCGCGACAATATTCTCCTCGCCCAATATCCAGAAGTGTATGAAGGAGGTTTACCCCTGCAATGCTTCTTCAGCTTTGGCTCTTTTCCTGTATTCATCATCACCTGCCTTGTACTTCTTTTCATCCTTGGCCATATTCTCAATCTCTTCCTTCGAAAGCCGACCTTTATCATTCGTAACTGTAATCTTTTTGTTCTGACCTGTAGTGTTGTCCTCAGCAGAGACATTCAATATTCCATTGGCATCGACATTAAAGGAAACGCACAGGAGCCGGTCCTGAATTTTTCCGACTCTTAGAGTTGAAAGATGCCATTGTTGGGTTCAAGGAGTTCAACGAACTTGGAAGGGGAAGTTATGGGGAAGTTCAAAACTTAACTTCAACTCTACAATGACAAAATATACAACTTTCCACCATTTTCACCATCTGAAAAATGAAAAAAAAATTGAAAATGGAGCTTCAGATTTTTAAAAATGGAGGAAGGGGGTATTTTGTACTGTGGGCATTGGGAAGGGGGTTTTCACGCTCCTGTGCGTCGTGTTCCTCACGCGGGCTGCTGATTAGGACCAACTGATGCCACATGCATGGTCAATGGTCAAATGTATTTATTAGTTATGGAAAAAACGAGTTCGAATGTTCAAATGGGAAAGTTATAAGTTTATGTATCGGGCTTTAAAAAACCCGACAAGTTTAAGTGGCCAGGTAGCCATTTCGCCATCTACATATATAAAGTAAGTTTTACAGAAGTAAAGAACATATAAAGTAATTGCACCCCAAGGTTCAACAGCTTATTCTTTGCACTTCTTCAAGGCAATGAGAAAGCTTTCATGAATCAGATTAGACTAGGCCAATAACCACCTTAATCTGAGCCACTTACAGGAAACAAGAATTGAACTACTTTCAGTGAAAATACCATTAGCAATGGAAAGAAAGCCAATCGGATACCAAGAGAAAAACGGAATAAAAAACCCAAGAACTCCTAATCTCCATTCCAACTGTTAAAAACTAAGTAATAGAGTTTATTTTTTCTTGGCATTTTACATTTCTCTGAGTGGAGAAGTTGGGGATAAAGAGGAATACAGAAAACCTATGGCGAGTTTAGCCAGGTCGGAAACTCAAAGAAGCACTTATGGAGTATAATACGCCTCCAATACATCATTAAAGATCCGAAAGTTTTCCTCTCGAGCCACTGAAATTATTCTATAACAGAAATCTACAGAAAAAGATAAAAAAACAGAGAAAACATTCTACAATTCAATATTTACTTACCAAAAACAATAGCATTTTTTTGACTCATCCTTTAATTCTTATTACCCTTTGCATAATTTTAAAGCACAGCAATAAAATTGAAAAGAAGACCAAATGAAGAAATTCAGACCTCATTATGTTCGTCGGATTCAACCCAAATCAATGCAAGATAGCTAAAGAGCACAAATAAAACAGGAAATTAACTTCACAGATCAGAACTGCATGTACATACAAGTATAAATAAGGAAATAATGAGAAATAAAATACTAGAAAGCAAGAAACACAAAAACGAAAGAACCTTATGCAACTTACGAATCTTAGAGGAAAGGAATGGAAACAACACAAGGCCGCTTCGCGATGCTCAGAAGGCAAATCGTTCTGTTTAAATTTTTGAAGCCAAATCGCTTGCACCATTTCTTCTTCCATCTTCAACTCTAGATTTGGATTTTTGAAGAGCGAGAGAGAGAGAGATAAGAGGTCAGGATTTTGACTGGAATACCAAACATGTAATCACCAAAAGCTCTAAAATTTAAAAAAAAAAAAATTAAAAAATAAAATCAAAAACTTTCAACTTACCCATTGAAAGAGCAGTCGACACTGAGAAGGTCTTTGGATTCAAACACATACCTAATTTGAGAATACAATTTCTGATTAGGGCTTTGGGTCTCGATTTACATTTGCAATTTGAGGATAGATTTAAGAGATTTGAGGGAATTGGATGAATAGTTTTTAATAAGATTCGGGAGAAAACCCCTTTTAATTTGTTGTGACTTGAGAGAGAGTGAGACGAAGAAGTTGCAGAAGACGTCTGCTTTGTATGCTTCTTTTTATTTATGATAATTTAAGTGATTTTTTTTAATTACAGTAGCGACCCAGTCGCTCCTAATGACCTACGCTAGCGACATTTCTCAAGTCGCTCCTAAACATTGGAGCCAAATTTTTGTTAATAGCGGGAACAAAAATTTCAGTATTTAGTGGCATATATTAGAGGCGACCTAAGAAAGTCGCTACTAGAAAATTGTGTTCTCCGGCGACTTATAAAGTCGCCACAATAAATGTAATATCTGTAGCAATAAACAAAGTCGCCACTAAAAGACAGATTTGTTGTAGTGGGATTTGACCACTGAAATAACTACCTGCAAAGTTCAGTACTTTGAGTGACTTCATTTGTGAAACAACTTTAGGTAAAGGGTGAGTAACTTGAAAGTATGAGGAATAGAGGCAAACTGATGCAAGTTTGAAAAGAACTAATAAAAGGGTTGAGCCAGTAGTAAGAATAGATTTTTGACAGCAAAACCAGTGTTAAAAAAACATAGTTGCACCATCGGCGAAAGTCTCATGTAGCTTGCGCGTCTCTCACTCTATATGGTATCCCGTTTCTTTCAACAGTTACGGATTAAATTAAGGTCGACAATATTAATAAGATTCTGCCAGAAATAGAATACAATTAGTCACCAAATAACTTTGAAACATGAACACTTAAAGCGAATTGACATGTAAAGATAAATATGTTAATACAAGATAGTAGTCGATCGTTAAAACTTTGTTGGAAAAATTACAACCAATACGAACAAGATTTGGTGGTGAAGGAACACAAAAGCATCAAAATAGAGGATCAATAAGTTTCTAACCTAATTTTCCTTTCGTTTACTTTGTGAAAGGAACATTATTTGTCACAAAAGATTATAACTAAATGATCTTGCTCATGCTCTAAGAATAGAAATGAAGAAAAATTTCTCCTAAGTTGCGTTTGCAATCTTCAATCATTGGAATAATTGAGGCAAAAATATTACATGTGTGGGGCCTTAATATACTGAACCATAAATGTAAACCATTACAGCATATTGCTCTAGATTTGACAGAGACATAGTTCACATGCACTTAGATAGAAGATATAAAAATAAAAATATTAGATAGAAGGTTACATGGCATTTGTAAGCTCAAAAAGAAAAAGTACAAAAGCTATGTTCACTAATAAACATAAACCACAACAGGAGGGCAAACATAGCAGATGAGTATAAATATGTATGAGCTGCTCAAACGAAATGTTTCTGACGCGATACATAGTTCCAAAGTAAGTCAAGCAAGATTCCTGAGTAGTTCTCATTACAACCAGGCTGGATTGGAAAAATGCAGTATTTATTTCGGTTAACAGGCAGCAGCAGAGGCTCAAGCTCAAATGTATTAAACGAATGTTTAAGTAAGCATGTATTTGACACATGTTATAGGAAGGTCTTGCCATGTTCAGCAATTGCAACCAAACACTGATTAAATAAGGCATCTTTTTCCTTGTAGTATAATACAAAGTTACTCATTTTATGCAATATAAGAGAAGGAAACAAAACAACTATTATAAGTAAACAATTCAAAGAGAATAACTCCATCTATAGAAAAAATATGCAATAAAACCAACGTACCTGATGATGAGCAATCTTGATAACGACCAAGAAAAAGTCGTTATCAACTTCTTTAGTGTCCTTGACTCCAACCACCACATCTTTCTTCATCTTAGAAAGCTTTGGATCAATCATCTCATCCTTATTAACCTCTGTCTCAAACCACTAACACACATATCACTCATCTGAAGCGCCTCAAAATGTATATCCGCAACGCCATGTTCATTGACCTCGAGGTTCAGATTTTATCTTATGCAACAAAAAGATGTAACAAGATGTTATTGATCAAGATTTCAGGGGTCACTGTAGAAGGTCATTCCAGGTGGTATTATAAGATTTTCGACAGCTACATCTATTCTTCCATTTCATCAGCTTGTGAGTTGTGGCTCCTCATCAGCTTCAGGCCCAAACAACGCAAATGAATTTTAAGAGATGCACTTCTTCACGAGAAGAAGCACTATATATTCAGAGATAGAAAACTCAATTCAGCAACAACTGGTCATTGTAAAAATTCTTAGTCACAACTCCATTCAAGAAAGACAATAGACATATTGAAGTTAGCTCATAATCAGCTTCTAGAGTGATCAGTGAAGAACAAGAGACACACGCTTTGAAAATGGGATAGAGAATCTGACTAAGAAGGAACTAAAAATCTGGAGCATAATGCAGAACAAAGTACAAGACAGAGCAGCAAGCAAAAAGAGCAAGATAACTTCAACAAAACTTCAGCTGCATAAATATGTGAACGAATCTGCGGGGCCTCCTTTAATTAGTATATCTCGCATATTAGATATAGTATTCAACCACGAAAAATATTTCATATTGCACTATTGATGCAGTCCATGACCCAATAACATATGTTGCTCCCAAACGCACACGCAAGTACACGTGATCGACAAGTAATATAGGATTGTAAGTCCAGATATCGTACCCACAGAGACTTGTGATTAACTATCAACTAAATTAAACCAAACAATTAATCTATTCAAGGGAACCCTAACGTATGAATATTTAACTAAAATTAATCTAGAGTAACAAACTAAGAGATTAAAGAAAACAAGTTGGCGAATTATAGAGACGAATTCAATGTGAGTCAATATTCTAGAGCTATGGGTTAGCTAACAATCCCGTTGAGTTTTTCACTTAAATTGTCTAATTAATTTATCTAGTTTATTGATTGACGGGGTTAATATTGCTCGTAGCCTTCTCCCGAAGTACAACTCGCCTCAAGCTAACATAACGCCTATATTCCTATGGAATTAGAATTAACAAGAACGCATTTATAATTCCCGTATAATAACCAAGCAAGGCGATTAGGTATATTCCTATCCTAACCGCAAATCCGCCCTCCCTCCCCCCCCTCCAGAGTTAAGATCTTGCTCTACTCAATCTTATATGCAATCTAGAATTCCCGCTCCCGAGTTCAATCCTAGATTCGTAGATAGTATTTAATTGGTGATCAAGCAATCAAATAATTAAATGCAAGATTGAATAAATAAACCAATATGATAAAATAATAATAACAATTCAAGCTTCAAACCACAACGTTCATGTAGCACCCAAAACTCTAGAACTAAGAAACTATGAAATTAAAGGAAGAGAAGAGAAAAAAAACTAGTTAGAAGCATCCTCCAAGCGTGGTGTGTGTTCCTCCACGTGAAACTCCCTTCAAAGTATGTTAGATATCCTCCAAATTAGGTTTAGAACCCCTTATATACGAGTTGGGACCGTGTAAGGTCAAAATAACCTTATCCCGGGCGAAATAGGAAAACTTGCACAGGCAGCGTACAGACCAGCGCGAGGAGCTAGCCTTAGCGCTGAATCCGGTAGACTTTCCGCCTCCAATTCCTTCCTTGAAGCGTTACATTTTTGTTTGTCTTCTTTAATTCCTTGCTTGATGTAATTCCTTTGTTTTCTTTGTCTTTCATTTGGGGGGACAAAGACCAAAGGGTGTCCCCCCTTGTCTTCTTCTTTTATATATTTCTTTTTTCTTCCGCGTTTTATTCAATTTTGTTTCAAATCTTTTGATCTTCACATTGCTTTATTCCTACACAGTTAAAATATAATATTAAGCACAAAATAATATAACTAATACTCAAAAAACGATTAAATATACTAGAATGTGAGGTAACAATGGGTAAATATATGCCTTTTTGGCCGAACATCAACAACCCACACTTAGACTCTTGCTCGTCCTCGAGTAAGCATTAAAACCACTCTCAATAAATCAAGCCTAGAAACACCACCAATTCGGTAAAGACTAACAATTAGGCCCTATAGCAACTCAAACCATCAGATATACACTTCCTCATCATCGTGCAAGATATACAAGTCACAAACAAACAACAAACTTCTAACCTCCTAACCTTAGAGAGAGATTGTAACTCACCAAATTTAAGCTCGCTCACCTACTTTGTCAGATAAAGCTAATAACATCACCTATCTATCATGAAACCAGTGCCCTCACAAGAATGAATAGTTCATACACTCAAATCAAAGAATGAATATAATTTAAGGACTTTGCATCAAAGAACAATTCTCGCACTCACAAAGAAATTCACATGTATGCACAAAGAACCATAGGCTTGCCCATTATGTACATATCTACTAATTAAGTATGCTCGACTAGAATCAAATAGGATTTTAACGGGTTGTAATGTTGGCTAAGGGACGGGTAGGAAAACTATATGATAGTGACTTACACTTCCCTAAGCACTTTGCACTTTTAGACTTCATCACCTATTATTTTTTACTCTTCACTTTTATTTTTCAGCCCTCTCTTCATCTATTGTTTCACAAGTATTTTCCTCACATCAAGAATGTTTTATTTTTTCAAAACAATTTTTTTTTCATTCTCTTTTTTTTCTTTCTTTCTTTTTCTTTTGCATGTCACATTCTTTTCACGAGGGCCTTTTAATCACTTTTCATCCATCATTGGTCATCATTTTTCACTTAACCATCCCATTCTTCAAATTTATCAATTAATATCACGGTCTAAGCAATAGTGATCAAGGAAGCAGGGTGCAAAAACTAGGGATTCAATAAAAGGATCAAGGCAAAAATACGGCTTTCAAACAAAAGGCTTCATGCTCAAAGGGCTAACTAGTGATACAATATCTGAAAAGGCTAAAATTCACAAGACATATCAAAGAAAGCCTATTATCATCTTCTAAACAGAGCAACACTTTTATTTTGCTTCAATAACATGCAGGGCAAGTTCTAGACTAAGATGCAAAACATGGAATATATGTAACAAATCTCACCACATATGGCACAAGTATCAATCTAGATGGATCAATTCTACTCTAAGACAGACAGGATCATAGCGAACAACAAAAAAAGAATAAGGTATATACAGAGTCACAACCCTGAGCTTAGGTGTCAAAGTTTGCTATTTTATCGTTACTCAAGCACTCAGAGGAAAGTACTACTCGAGCATAGGCCTCAATATGCTAGTATCAAACAAGTCACAAAAGTTTTTCTTCCCCCTCTTTTTCTACTCCTACAATAAAGAAAAAAAAAACTAATC